GAACCTAGACAAAGTTCTAGAAGTTACTTGTTTCCAAAACATACCAGATTCTTTGGCATTAAAACAACAAGCAACCGTTATTCATATCACCAGCAGAACCTTTAGGAAATGGTTTGGAAGTTCTTCAAAATATTAAACATATACTTCCCATGTGACTCAGCAATCTTGGGGAGCCCCAGCAGAGCCATCACATGACACCTAGGCAATCAGGTCTCCTCTTGGGCCTCTGAGTTTCATTAATAAAAGATTTAAGAATAGACACAAATGAAAGCTTGAAGACAAGAAAGGGACTCAAAAGTTTGAAGAAAACCCCACAGGGTAGGCAAGCAGCTGCCTGGAAGAGGAGGATGAGGAAAGAATTTGGGGGCCAGCCACCTGGCAGCTGGGTAACAGAAGAGCTTTAGAAAGAATAAGGAAGCCCAGTGCATGATAGGGATTGTAAAGCATTCTTAGACTCTACCCAGTGTCGAGAGGAAAAGACAATGGTTAAGAAAGGATAGTTCTCTAGGAAGATGAACCTCTGATGGCTCTTAGGATTGCACTGGGTAGGGAATTCTAGGAAGAAAAAGTATACTCAGAGAAACCTGTCTTCCTAGGGGACTTCCTAATCAGGTCCCTGGCCTGCCACACTAGATTAATCCTTAAGGGAAAGAGGTAGATCCAGTTTTTTTATGTTAGATATAACATATGCACAAGGCAAATGAAACACAGTCACATAAAAGCATACCTATGCAAACCTTATTCTTGGTGATCCTAAAGTGTAAATACCCCAAATGTCCACTAATCAGGGAATAGATATATGCCACATAATTTATCTATGTGATGAATATTATTCAGAAATAAACAAATGAAGTGAATCTTAGTGAAATAGCGCAGACACAAAAAAACAACATACTATGGGCTGGAGAGATGGTTCAGAGGTTAAGAGGTTAAGCTGTTCTTCCAAAGGTCCTGAATTCAATTCCCTGCAACCACATGGCAGCTCATAAACATCTATAATGAGATCTGGTGCCTTCTTCTGGCCTGGAGGAATAAATGCAGACAGAATACTGTATACATAATAAATAAATAAATAAATCTTTAAAAAATATTATGATTTCAAAATAGAATAGGCAAATCTACACAGGAAGGTCAGTGGCAGTCGTCTGGGACAGCCATGTTGGGGGGAAATAGGAAATGAGTTCTAGTTGGTACAGCACTGTATGGGAGTATGGACAATCTGTACTCCAAGCCCGCCAGTAAATACACACACCTGCTCCTTAACTAAATGACTACATGGCTTAAAACATGTATTTCACAGTTCAGAACCCATAGCAAAATGCATGGGTAACTCTGGTGTATGTCCACATGGACTTCCCAGGGGTCATACCTGTTCTGAAGGTTTGCAGAAAAGCCAAATAAGGGTGTGTGTAAATGAGGGCCATCTGCAAGCATGTCCTCTGCATCCAAATGCTACACCTGGTCCAAGCTTCCTCCTGCAGCAGAGATGAACGAGCTGAGTGAGCTCAGACTGGCTACTGCTAGCCTGAACCCCGTATCTTTAGCAAAGGGACCTAACGGGGGACTGCTGGCAAGAGTCTCCCATCACCTACCTCAACTCCGCTGCAGGAACTGCACCTCATGCCTAGTCCCTTTGGGTCCAGACTTGCTTTTCTCATGATATGCCCACCCTCCCATCGGATCTGTCACTTCATCAGGTGCCTAAGATAGGGCAAGGCCTGGAAGACCTGGCACCTCTGGCACAGAGACCCCACACTGAAGAATAGTGTTTGCTGAACTACTGAGACTTGCGTGAACCAGAAAGGGAGGCAGAGAAGTAGACCCATAAGGGGAGGCATTCTAGGGTCCTGGAGGAGTGTAGTTAAAGCTCTGGATTCAATATTCAGCACTACAATAGTGCTGCTAGGGAAGTATTTCCTTGTTTTCTCCTACTCCCCTTTCTTCTATGGGGCTTTACGCCTCTTAGCTGCTACAAAAATAGGTGCTCTGAACTGTGCTCAGCTCACAGTTGTTTATGAAATAAAAAACAAGAACCTTTCTTTTGCTGCTGCTTTGAGGTCGAACCCAGTCTCATGAATACTAACTAGGTAAGTATGCATGACCTGTTTTCTTAGCCACAAGAACTCTTACACTGATGTGCATTTTGGTTAGATGAGCTGTTGCCTAATTATGCTACTGTCTGAACCACAGGACATGGATATCTTAAGTACATGCATTTATCAATAGCCCTGGCTCTCCTAGAACGAGCTATGCAGACCAGGCTGGCTGCCTCTCAAGTACTGAGATCGAAGCCATTCACCACACTGGGGACTTTCTCTCCATGGACTGACTCCTGTTGTATCACATATGTAGTCTGTGGGAGGAGTGAACTACAGAAATGAATGCTGCTGGCTTTACTTTAACAAGACAGAAGGCAATCTGATTGCTAAGCTATTCTACGAGATTGAGTGCAGTTTTCGGAGTTACAGAATTCTTTGTGCTTACCTGTACAATGCATGTGCTTGAGCATACCATTAATGAAATTAGTCTAATGCCAGGGCTATGCCTGAGTGCTGCGAAAGAGTAGGCCCTGGGAAAAGCACAAGAGAACCAGGGAACAGAATGTCTTAGCTCAAAGCAGTGAGGTTTCCAGTCACTTCAACTTGGATCAGAGTCCTGGCCTTGTTGGCTTGGTCCCAGTGCTGCTATGTTCAGCATTTGTGCCCCTTCTGGCCAACCACGTGGGTGAGGCTTGGATTCTCAGGGGCTGAGCCTCTGCATCCCACTTGCCTTCCAGAGAATGCATAAGTAGAAAATAACAGACCTACTAGTACCCCTATGGAAGGAAAGATCTGGCGTCCAAACTCTGCTCAGTGCTGGAAGAGGCAAAGGCCTCTTTGAAAACCATGAACGGAGGGCTGTCTGCAGGCAGGGGTGTGTCACGGCACACACATGCTCCGAGGTACACTCTTACTGCTCTTTTGCCACTTTGTGGGTCTGGAGCTTGAGCTTCCCATCCTGCCTGGCTTTTTAGGTTTAAAAAAAAAAAGTTGTGGTTTTTTTTTTTAAATCACATAAAACATGTTCCTTAGAGCCTTCGTCTGGTGTTGATGTGGAGCTTCACAGAAGGGACCATTTGGTCCCGTGAGCCACTCACTGGCTGCCCAGCCAAAGACAGGCCAAGCTGGGCCTGGCAGCTCCAGAACTCAATGTGTGGCTTGTGCTGCTCTGTGGAAGTGAATACAGCTGTGGGCAAGGATATGCAGTCTGAGGTTCTTGTCTATAAACCCCTGAACACTTTACCTCACAAGCAAACTGATGTGAACATCTATGTTGGTGACTCTAGGCTATCAGTGATTTTGGTTCACACTCACACCCTTCAGAAGATCCCAGGTTCTGGAGCGCTGTGAACCCACAGGGATGTGAGGGGATGCTGGAGGGACACAGGAAGGACATGATTAAGGTTCAAGGCTAGCCTCCAGCAGTTGCTCTGCCATTCCCTATGTGACAATGAGTGCCAATGAACAAATTTGGTGATCGGGAACAAGGCCATTTCTACTTGAACTCCAACTGATTGCTCTATTTTTAAAATGCTCTGGCAGTCGGGAGATAGTCCTTTGGAAAGAGAGGTGAGACATGTATGTTACTTATTATGGCTTGCTGAGCTCAGGGGCATGCATGTTTCTACCCAGGATGGCGACCTTCAGACTCCTAGAGACCAGACAGCCCAGTCTTGCTCACCTGGGCCTCAGGCCTTAGGGGCAGCTAGTCAGATGTTTGCTTTCTCCAAAACAGGAAGTATGGGTGACTGATCAGGAGAGCTCGACAATTCCTAGTGAGGATACAGGGCTGTGAGGAGACTGGAAGAGATTTCTCATTGTTACTAAACTGAGTCTTGAGGGTACTTGCTGCCATGGAAGAGGCACCACTGGCTCCCTGAGCATGAGGCAGGTGTTCAGCCCTGAACTGCAAAAATGGCTTAGCATAAAACCACTTTGGCTATAGAATGGAATGCCATTTTTATTTTAAAGAAATAAAAAAGAAAAATAACAGCAAAGAAGATCATTTTCTTATACTTCTATTCCTACACATTAAACACATTAAAAAAAAAATCCCTCAAGCATCTGTTTTTTTTTTTAAGACAATATAGCCCAGTACGTTAGACTTAAACACAGGTATTTGAATATGACCGTGGATCCCTGATTCTCCTGCTTGCCAGGACTTCAGGCATGATCTACGAGACCTACCTGCTATACTGTTCTTGATGTCATCTTCTTATTGGATCTTAGTGCACTGAACTGCACTCACTTGCTGTCAATCCAACCACAGAAGACTTCAAGAGCAGACTACCTTGAGGGCCTGACATGTCAGTCCACCCACCCTCACAGGAAAGAAGACGGTGAGGTGCTGAGGACACTAATCTACAGATGGTCCTTCATGCTCACAAAATCTCCCCAGAACAAGTCTGATGATATGTCACTTAAATTTGTCCTTTTATAGAAGGATCCCTTAGCAAATGTTTTCACTAAAAAATAACAGATTAGCAAGAGTGGTACTTAACTAACCAGCCCCAACTCCTACAGAAGAATTGGTCTGTTTTTGCTTTTTTTTTTTTTTTTAAAGATTTATTATTTGTGTATTTTATGTGTATGAGTGTTTTGTCTTCACACACACCAGAAGATGGAATCAGATCCATTCAGGTGGTTGTGAGCCACCATGTGACTGCTGTGAATTGAACTCAGGAGCTCTGGAAGATCAGCCAAGTGCTCCTAACAGCTGAGCCATCTCTCCATCGTTGAGCCAATTTGTCTTGATAAAGGTCTGTTAATAAATGCAGCCTGAATGCTGCTGTGCACTAGACTCTGCAGTTGAACACACAGATGCCTTCTTCAAGCCCTCAGGCACATGACACATACTCACATTTCTTACAGACCAACACAGGCCACACTCATGAAGACTCAAGTTACCCACTTGCTTGCTGCTGTTCCTCTTCTGATGAGAAGACACAGAGTCACTTCAGGTAACTTCCATTTAATTTAACATTTATTTTCATTTATAACGAGATGTCACATTTTCTACATTAAAATATAATCATGCTGATTCCCGTGCCCTCAGAGAAAAACAACTGGAAGACGGAATGCATAGAGTGGGAAGTCATTGCTGCACCTGAGAACACACAGCACAGAGACCCAACAGCAGACATGGCAGAGGCTTACAGAATAGAGCTAACGGCTCAAGCCAGGAAGGAGCAGGAATAAAAAACATTGCCACATGTGCCACAAGGTCACCCGAAAAGTCAGATCTGGGTCAGAAAGTTTGGGGACTGAACAGTTTAAAACATCCACAAACCTAAGGCAAGCCATCTTCACACCCCACCTCAGGATCAGGGGGCAACACAGAAACCTAAACCACCATAAGCACATCAGGATAAGGGTGGAATGTAGGGTTTTTCTTAATTGTACCCCAGCCTTTTCCAAGTCTCAATTCTCCTATGACTGCAGCCCAGTGGGTATCACTAGCAAAAGACATGTCACCACTTCACCACTGCCATGAAGATGCCAGCTGTGCAACATTGCATAATTCTGTGCGCGCCTCAAAGAGAAAGATGCCACACAGGAATTCCCAACTCACAGCACTGGCAGCAAGAAACTCATTTCGTAAGAAAGTGCAAGCAGACAGTAAAACCCATCTGCATAGAGCAGAGGACAGACCCACAGGCACACCAGCACTCCAGAAAAAAGGCTCAGCCAAGAGCCTCATGGTTCTTCTGAAAGGAGAATTCTTCCAGTCTCCACTTTGCCCCTAAATTTGAGACTGAAGCATTTAACTTCAAAACAGTGATACTCTTAAGGGAGCTGAGAGGTAGGGTTTGGGAGACCCAAACAAGACATTATTAGCAACTAGCTCTCCACTATGTACAAATACATACATTGGTAAGCAAACTTCACGCCATCCCTCAGCTACTTTAAGGAAAGCACTGAAGGTAAGGTTTTCTGAGCAGGGATCTTTCAATCTGTTAGCAGTTTAAACGTTGCAACACTGGCACAATAGTTACCTAGCCTTTGTTTTTAATTACAGGGTAACAGGTAAACTCCCGCACACAGGTGGGGATGGAGGAGTGCAAAAGGAATCAGGAAACAGAACCAGTACTTCACAAGAGGGTCACGCCACACGAGCAGCCGCAGCTAGTGCTTTGCAGAGTCTCGAGGGTAAAACTCGCTCAGGGTGCTCTGAGGAATTCTCTTCAGCATTTCTTTGGGGAAGATTCGAAGCAACTGCCAGCCAATGTCCAAAGTCTCATAGACAGTTCGGTTTTCATAGGGACCTAAAATATTGACACTGAATTAATCTCAAAGAACTTCCACTTGACTCTTGTTGCTCAGTATTCTGTCAGTGGACGAGCAAACAGGGTAGACATTAAATACAAGAAAGAAAACGTGAGTTAGGACTCAGACTGAATGCAGAATGAGGGCACAAAGTACCACAGAGATCAGAGGTGAGGAGAGGTCCACAGGGACAATGTACATGTTGGGTTAAAGGATTGAGGTGGACAAAGAGGGACAAAATCCTTAAGGCAAACTAGACCCAGCATTTTCATCAAAGGTCAGTAAAAAGCAGACTTAGACACAGGGCATAGGAGAAAAAGCTAAGCTTGCAGGAATCAACAGAGATGCTAAGAAAGCCTTAAATGCCATAAAGCATAATATATTACAGGCCAGTGGTTTTCAAAACTTAATTTATTTTGAGACAGGGTCTCACTGAGTGGCCTAGGCAAGCCTCAAACTCTACCTCTTAAGTGCTGAAATTACAGGCCAACCAAATTATATTTAATATAGCAAAATTAACCTCCTCTCCTCCAAAAAACCCCTTTCCCAAAAGATTAAGAATGGTGGGATTCTGGAGTCCCTCTCTAAATAACTTTACTATATTTTTTAGTGTCTGTATTAACAGACAGACAGACAGTCAGAGGAATAACTAAATCCCAACACGATCAGTGACACTCAGGGTCAAGCACTTGCCTGGCGTGTGTTCCACCCCTCATCTAGTTAAACCACTGTGTGTTTAGATGATTTCAGTATGGAAAATGGAGGCAAGGAAATGCCATCCAAGTAAAATCCTAGTGCTATTCTAGTGCTCAAATCCTAGTGCTGTTCCAAAGCAGCATGCACACCTGCTGTAACTATCACTGAGGTCGAGGGTGGAGTATTTCTAGGAACAGCAGCAAGACTAAACAAAACAGCCTGAGAACCCATATGTGCCATGTAAGGAAACATACTGGAGGCTTTTTAGAAGAGAGACAACCAATAAAATTATTAAGATCTACCCCTGAGCTGTGAGAGTGGTGGAAAACTGGCCCCAGTGGCCAAGGATGATGTATGGGGGACTTAAACCTCACGTCTGGTTACAGACCTTATCTTCACTGTGGCCCAGAAACCTCCAACCTCCAGCCTCACTAGATATATTGAGCCAGTATCAGCACTTCTTTAACAGACAGAACATTGTATATATAATAAATAAATAAATCTTAAAAAAAAAAAAAAAAGCAAATCAAAGTTTGAGAGCTACTGGACAAAATACTATAGTGAGAATACAAAAATAATACAGTAAGAAGACTATGAATAATAACTGTCTGATCACTAGAGAATAAGGTTAAAAATGCTGCCCAGTCAAATGCACTAGTGAGTTATCACACACACACACACACACACACACACACACACACACACACACAAAGTGGGCCAGGTTGGGGAAGACATTGTATTGCGGGAGATGAAGAAGAATTGAGGCAGTAGATATGTATGACCTTATTTCATTGTATACATGCATGAGATTCTCAAAAATAAAAATTAAACAAACAACCAAATGCTGCCCAGCAACGGAGATGGATTAGCTGGAAAAATGACCCCACCAGACACAGACAGCACATAGATCAGATTATTGGAGGCAGAAAGGTGGTCAGCTGGGGAAAAGTCTCATTCTGGTCACTGGGTCCTTACGGATAATACCATACAAAAAGATATGCTTATAATAGGCCGAGGTGTGGTAGCTTAATCAGGTTTCCTGCAGATGTTCAGAAGGCAGAGGGAAGGAGGTCAGATGTGAAGACAAAGACACAGCAGAACTTTAAGTGTTTCGTTAGAAGAGAGAATGCAGAGAGACCAACAGGAGTTCTCAGATTTGCAAGGAAGGTTTAATGGTTCTAAGACGTTTTGTTTGAAGGGCATCATCTTACCCTGAGTAATGAAGTTTTTCTCAAACTTCTGCAGAAATTCCAAGTAAAGAAGGTCATCTGAGGTCAGGGCTTCTTCTCCCACCACGGCTTTCATGGCTTGTACATCCTTACCGATAGCATAGCATGCATACTGAAAAGGAGAGGGTACATGTCAACAGCCCAGGGTGGATAGGTCCTGTGGCAGCTCTCTTCACCAAGATGTTACAGCTTACAGAAAGCTCCCAGGAAGGTATTCAAGTACTTACTATAGTCTCCCCGAGAAAGAGGCCTTCAGACATTACCAACACTGCAAAAATATACTTTCTCAGTGTGTTAATTAATTTATGATGAATAGAAAAAAGATGCAGAAGCCAAAGAGAAATCTCTGTACGTCTCACTCAAACGCCTGTGATTTCACAGGCTTTCCATTTCTACTGAAGGATCAGATATTTTTCTTTATGTTTGATGTACAATCTATAAACATTAAGGACTTTATAGAATATATACAACTGTAACTTCAGTGTTCTGCTGGCTGTTTAACACGGTCAGTAACAAATATGTACTGCTGCCCATGCAGAAATATACCAGTAGTTAAAAGAACACATTGCTTTCTGCTTTTACTTTCATGCTTAAAAATTTTATTACACTTATTTATTTAGTGTGCATAGGAACACACACAAAATACTTTTTATTTGTGGGCACACATGTGCCATGTTATGTGTAGAAGAATCAGAGGACAATTTGCAGGAGTTGGTTCTCTTCTTCTGCGATAAGGGTCCCTGGGACTGAACTGTAAGACTTGGTGTTGGTGGCAAGTGTCTTTACCCACTGAGCCCTATTGCCACCCCCCGCCCTTTTCCCTTTTTAATTTAAAAACTACGGGCTGGAAAGATGGCTCAGTGGTTAAGAACACTGTCTGTTCTCTAAAGGGCTCAGGACCCAGGTTTGATTCCCAGTACCCACACAGCAGCTAATCAGCCTCCGTAATTCCAGGTCCCAGGGATCCCAAACCTTCTTCTGGTCTTGGACACTGCATGCATATAACACACAAATATTCATGCAGGTAATACACCAATACTCAGAAAGGTAAATGAATAAATAGGGGAGACATTTGAATAAATAGGGGAGATTCTCCAATAAAATACATTTTAAAACTGCATATAGTATTCAAAATGAGTTGCAAACTTGGTAATTTTCTTGTTGCTATTACTGTTTTTTGAGACGGTGTCACCATGAAGCTTGGGCTGATATCCAGTTTGCAATTCTTCTACCTTAGCCTCCCAAATCCTGGGATGACAGGTTATGACAGCACAAGCGGCCGAAACTTAACAGGTTGTTGGTTTTATTTTTCGAAAATTTTATTTTATATGCATGAGTGTTTTGCATGCACGTATTTATGAGTACCACATATATGGCTAGATTCTTCAGTCAGAAGGTGTCGGTTCCCCTAGACCTGGAGTTACAGATGGTTGTGAACCCTCATGTGGGTCCTCTTACAAGAATAATAAATGCTTTTTAGCACCGAGTCATCTCTCCAGGCCCCAGGTTTGATTAGCATTATTTGCTCTTATGAAAAAAGGTTGCTTTGTTCTATCCAGTGTAATTATTCTGTATCAAACCAATACTGAAATTCTATTTGGTTGGGAAGACAAACACTGATAGCGTTGTCATGGATATGACAGAAGAACATAAGGAGAAAGGCCAAATCTCCTCCTTAGAAGAGAACACATACCAGTTGGTTAGATACATCAGCATGGTCCTTTCTGGTCATTCCTTCTCCAATAGCTGACTTCATTAACCGAGACAATGAGGGTAACACATTAATAGGTGGATAAATCTTGGGTAGAACAGGAAGAAAAAAAAAATTGTTGTATGTAAAACTTGAGCTTTACTGTACCGAGCATTTAAAAATCACCGGTATCCTTCATAGCACATAAATCTACAGGCACTTTTTCTAGATGAGCTCTAGCATCTTCTAGGGAAGAAACGGTAGTGAGAAACACTTTGTGCGCAGTATTTCTTTTGAGAATCAGAATAAAGAAAGTGAAGTATAAAGAGAGCACAACACTGTTTTGAAAACCTACAGTTTCAATTGCCTAGGCTACCTTAGTATCCATCTAAACAATTTTGTTCATGGACTCAAAATTTTATAAGCAAAATAAAATGATTATAATAATTTCTCCTAAAAGCTGATTTTGGAAATCTGTTATAAAACCAGCAAAAATCCTGCTTTTCTAGTAACAGGACTGGCAGATCATGACATATACCATTTTTAGCATAGAATTCCCCACAAAAAAGTTCCCTGAGACAACTGATCCCAGTTAAAGGCACAATAAATAAAAACAGTAATTCTTAATTCTGGCACTCTGCCCACTGTAAGATTTTAGCTTAGAAACGATACTTTCATAGCCATATTAAACAACTCAAGCTGGTGCTTCCTGAGCTGTGGTAAGTCCCAAAGAGCAAATAAAGTCAGCAGAGAGTGAGTGAGTGGCTTCAAGACCCACAGCACTCTTCAAGTGTCAGTACCTGTCTGTTGTGCAGCTGTCTGTCCACATAGATCTGGCCCTCAGTAATATAACCAGTCAAGTCAGGGATAGGATGAGTGATATCTGCCAGAGGAAGACATAGTTATTTAAGCACATGGCTACCCCACATGGCCAATCTCACAAGAAGCCAATCTGTATTACCTACATTTCTCTGCCCATAAGAGCTACAGTGAATAATTTTCTGTGATGATGCATTTGTGCTGTCTAATAGAGTAGTATGATGGTTAGTTTTAATTGTCAACTGACTATAAGCTGGAAAGAGGCTTGGTTGGGTCAGTTTGTGAGCATGTCTGTGGGAATTATCTTAATTAATTGATGTGAAAAGACATCCCACTATGGAGGGAACCATTCTCTAGGCAGGGTGTTCTGACTTCTGAAAGAGTGGCGATATTCAGCATTCTTGTCTCTCTGCTCTTAATCACAGGTATGGAGTGACTAGCTGTTTAAAGTTCCTGCCTTGACTTTCCTACAGTAATGAACTGCAACCTGGAATTACAAATGGAAACATACCCCTTTCTCCTCTAAGATGCTTTTTATAAGGGTACATTATCACAGCAACAGATACGGAAGCAGGACAGAGGACCTGCCAAGCATGGCTGCTGAGCAGCTGAGTGTGGCTAACGGACCTGAAGGGCTTACTTTAAATTTCATTTTAATCAACTTGAATTTAGGTACAGGGCAATGTGCCTAGCAGTTTCCATATTAAAGACATTTCATTTGTTCAGTTACAATAGTTCCAACAAGTATGCAATACTTGCTTCTCGTCATGTGCTTTCTTACAGCACAATGTTCCATCGCAACCACAAATCACTATGCAGATGTAGGACACGTGGGCATGGCAGTGCTGCTCAGGCAGCACCCAAACACTGTGCCAAGTGGTGTCCTTCCAGCCTGTGGACGGAAGACAGCCACTTTGTGCCTGCTCTTCTGGAACATTCACGCTTATGTCAGAAGCAATGAAGGGTAACTGCTGGTGTGGGTTGCACGAGCTGCAGAACTACCATCTCCTAAGCCAGTAAACCACTCCACTGTTTGTGTGCCTCAGTGCTGTGGGGAGGCTCACACCGGAGCACTCCTAACCGTGCTCAGCACAGTGAGTTATTTCCCAGACTATCCCATGCTCTTCACTGTGAGTTTAACTGTATAAATGACTGGCTCACAGAAAATCCAGAGACAAATTCTTCATAGTTTAAATAGTGTTCTGAAAGCAGCAGGCATTCAATAATAGATAGTAGGTGAAAATTTAAAATTCAAATTACAAAGAAAATAGGTTTTCTTCAAAAGTGATGAAGATAATTAGAAATAATCTTCAGCTAGGTGGTGGTGGCACCCACCTTTGATCCCAGCACTTTTAAAGAGTGAGTTCCAGGATAGCCAAGGCTACACAGGGAAACCCTGTCTTCACCCCCCCCCCCCCAAAAAAAAAAAGAAATAACCTTTAACTGAAGATGATGTTTAGGTATAGTATCTAGTTAAGACAACGGCTGATGTCAAGCTCTCCAAAGAATTTTAACTCAGAAAAGTAGATGGTTGATGTCTACAGAACCAATGCCCTGTTAGGGCCATTGAACTGTTTCACAGGTAAAGCCCTTGCCACCAAGGCTGATTACTTGTTCCCTAGCACCTTCATAGCAGGGAGAACTAGCTCTGGTCAAGCTGTCCTCTGACCTCCACAAGCACACTGTGGAAAGTACCCCAATCCTCCTCCCTCTCTCTCCCTTTTCCTTCCCCCTCCTTTCTCTCACAAACATACACACAAGCCCTTTCAGTGATTAAGTCTGGTAAATCATAGATGCAAACTTACCATCATTGGGCATGGTGAGAATAGGGATTTGGGTAATAGAGCCATTTCTACCTTCTACCCGACCAGCACGTTCATAGATTGTGGCTAAATCGGTGTACATGTAGCCTGGGAAACCTCGCCGACCAGGAACCTCTTCCCTGGCTGCTGAAACCTAATAGCAAACCAAGGAAGGAGAATGTCAGAGTAAGAAAAAGACACGTCAGAGAAAGAAAAAGTCTGCTTAGAATGTCTGCTTAAATATGCCCAACAAAAAATTAATTTGTGTGGCTGTAATGCAAGAATGTTAAAAATTATAATGAACCAGAAATTCAGTTGAGGCTGGAAAGGTGATGCTACTCTCAGATTCTATTAATATGGTCATTTTCTCTATTTCAGTTTGCTAATGACTATACTTTTCTTGACTCTGAATGGACAGTAATCTTTTGAGTTTGGGGACAAAAAAATTCTGCTTTCCATAAGCCTTCACTTATGTGTTTGAAGAGTGACAATAATAAATACAACGTGCATAAATAAATTCTGTGACAGAAACTAGTTGGGTATGGTGGTGTACGCCTGTGATCCCAGCACTGGGATGGCTAAGGCAAGAGGTCTCTAAGTTCAAAGACAGCCTGGACCACACTGAGACCCTGTTTCCAAAAAAAAAAAAAAAAAAAGAAAAGAAAAGAAAAAGAAGGAAGAAAACAAAACAATTAGATTTTCTGCTAAAATTTTACTACAACAATGTTTATTATAAAAAAAACTCTATAAATCAAATAGTTACTTCTAAAGCCTAAATTTTCAATTCACTAACTATACCATACCGTAAAACAATCCACTCTCATGTAAGAGTCCTCATTAGGTCACAAGGAGGAACACATATCAAGAACCAATCACATGTTATACTCATACATTAGATAGTCAAATCTTTACAACAGCCAAACAAGAAAGCTCATCCGAAATTTACAGCCAGAACTGAGGCTCAGATAGTTCCCAAGACCAAAAGGCCAAAGTCCAGCTCAGTGGCATACGTCTAGAATCCCAACACTTTGGAGAGGCAGGAAGAGAGAAGTTCAAGGCCAATCTTAGCTACACAGTAAGTTTTCAAGGCCAGACTGGGCCACACAGGGCCTTGATCACTGAGCCCAGAGGTTACTCCACCTCACAAAGGTCTTTCTTTGGGACATGCATATGGGAATACAGGTACGTACAAAACTCCACACCATAAGAACCTCAGCGGATTCCCACTGCAGGGTTCCTGCAATGTTACTCAGTGTGACCTACAGACCCAGGGTCATTGATGCACAAAGAAACTGTCATGGCAAGCTGGCAGAACACTTTGATGTTTATGAGATCAAATGGGCAGTAAGCCTAGGTTTATAAATTGTTTATCTTTAAAAAAATTATCTTTTTTCAAAGCTCATTTTTGTTTTCCTTAACAATAGTATTGACCCGTTTCAATGATGGAAGACTCTAGTCCTTCAGGGAGGCAACATGAACACTGTGGCAATGTAGTAATGATCTTGGGGATTTGAAAATGTAGTCTTCAGAGAGCAGGTTTCCTCAGAAGTCTTTATGTACTCAAGAGTTAGCTTATTAAAAATACCAGAAATTTGTCTTAAAATGTCCTAAAACTTCTATGTGATGTTACTGTAATTAAACAAACATTTGGTTTTCTGAAGAAAAAATTCCAAAGACAGTGTTGCCAGAGCATTTATTAAACTATTATAATCACTAGAAACAGAGCCCCGAGGGGCTAGAAGGATGGCCAGAAGTTAAGGGCATTTGCTGAGATCCCGGGTTCAGTTCCCAGCACCCCCTGGAAAGCTCACAGCCATCTGTCTGTAACTACACTTCCAGGGGATCTGATGCTGTCTTCTGGTCTCCAAGGGCACATATATACCCTCAGACACAAGCAAAATACACATAAATTTAAAAAAGTATCTGAAAAGGTTAACACACACACACAAAATATGGACAGGAACTCCTGGGAGTATATAACTGCTTACAACTTAAACCCTTGGGACAGTGACATGGTAGGCAGGCTATTAATTTTAACCTCATCCTCCAACGTTTCCAAGTTGACAGAAAGAAAAAAACAAAACAAAAAAGTCCCCTAGCTTTTCTGATGAAGATAATCTACAAATCCATCAGCAACATGCTCAAAAGCATGATTAAAGAAAAACAGAAACTTACAGACGGTCAATATAGCCTACAAATTGACCTATTTTGTTTGACTGAAAAAAATAAAGGAAGGAAGGAAAAGTTACCTCTCGAAGTGCTTCAGCATAGGAACTCATATCTGTCAGGATGACCAGGACATGTTTCTCACACTGGTAAGCCAGAAACTCAGCTGTAGTCAGAGCCAGGCGAGGAGTGATGATTCTCTCGATGCTGAAAGGGAACATAAGTCGTAGGTCACTCCAAAGCCATAACCAAAACAATTATGGGATCAACAGCAATTTCCCTTTGACATTCTTAATAAATAGGAGAGGAAAACAACTATTACTTTGAAGATCCTCTGTAGGCAATTACTCTGCAGGAGTAATTGCAGGATAGTAAGTGCCACAGGTTAAATTACTTTACAAACGCTTGTCATTTCTCAGAGCTGCTGTTCTCAAAACTGAGAAGGGGTGGTGAGAAAAAGGGCAGGAAGGAAATAGGTGTCATACTTCCAGGTGAGAAAAAGTCATTTGCTGATGACCTATTGTGTCCCAATAACTCTTGTGCATCTTGTCATCTGCCACGTGCAACAACCCAGTCAAGTCACTTTTCTGAGCTTCTGTGTCTGCATGACTATAGAATCTGCACAAAGCTAAACAGCTCCCAAGAAGCAGAATGCTATTTAAATACAGGGCTACACCACGAAGAGGCTTTCACTGCAACATCACCTTCTTTGACACCTCTGATCCCCAGTCTTCTCAAAGAGAAAGAAGTGACCATATTTACTTACGTTGGGTCATTAGCCAAGTTCAAAAAAAGGCAGACATTGTCCATTGAGCCATTTTCTTCAAAGTCAGATTTGAAGAACCGGGCTGTTTCCATGTTTACCTAAATATCAATGACTTCATAAGTGCCAGGAGAAAAAAAATTCTCAACATCTACTTCTGATGAAGGCCAAGCTACGAATACAAACTGTTCCATCTTTTAAAAATCCAAACACCTAATTTTTTGGTGAGAGTAAAGCACTTTGGCATACAGAGTATTATTAGGTTGCGGCTACATGCTAACTTTGACTCCTTGGTTTTGCTAAAATGTCAAGAAGCAACGCCTCCATCTAGGAACGAAGTCGACTATGTATGCCTAGTTTATTTGCCTCTTTCCAGTAACAGTTAGTTTTATGTTATTCCCAAACAGAACACCACACTTACCCCCATAGCAGCAAACACAATGGCAAAATTTTCTTCACTGTAGTCCACTACATCTTTGGATTTCTTTACCAAACCAGCCTGGCGACAGATCTGAGCGGCAATCTGTTGAGGATGAAAAGAAACAAGCTGTAAACTAAAAATCATATTCTAAGAACAAAATATCTTATTCTTGATGTTAAATACTTTAATTACTAAACTTGGTTGACAAAACTCTCTGATCTTCACCAAGATATAGAAACAGAATCCAGAGGGCAGACATGCACGCCTGAACTGCACGAGTGGAAGATACCAAGTACACGGTAGGTGAGCTGACGCATCCAGAGACTCTCCCGCGACAAGCCTCGGCTAAGGACCCCAACTCTCACCTCGTTGTGCGGTAGTCCAGCAGCAGAAAAAATGGGGATTTTCTGTCCCCTAGCAATACTGTTCATGCCGTCGATGGCAGAAATGCCTGTCTGGATCATCTCCTCAGGGTAGATCCGACACTGAGGGTTGATTGGCTGACCTGCCGTGTTCCAGAAAGAAAATGTTACTATGTCTGCATACTGTTCATGATAGAAGGAGAAATACTTAAAAAGTCAGAACTACAAAAGAATTTCTCAGTACTTAAACTACCTACTCTAAATGCTACCGTAACTAGTCTCTATCTGGCAAGGCTCCCAGTAGACAGCAGTTACTTTCCCCAATATTAAACCCATCTACTGCCCCTACCCATGATGTCAAGGAAGTCTTCAGCCAGCACCACAGGACCTCGGTCAATGGGTTTTCCTGATCCGTTGAATACCCGACCTATAAAACAGCAACAAGACAGAACAGAGCAGAGCTAGACTTACAAATGTGTGTTTGTATGTTTCTAGATTTTATATAAATATGCTCCCTTTTAAGGGAGCAGATCTGTGTTGACAACGAAGAGTGATGTCTACTTACCAAGCATATCCTCAGACACTGGTGTTCGGAGAATATCCCCAGTAAACTCACAGGATGTTTTCTTGGCGTCTATACCTGATGTCCCTTCAAATACCTACCAAGAAAGAAAATCAGCCAGAAGGTTAATGGAGGTTAGGTCAGGGACACTTGCAAGGGTACTGCTTGCAGGGGCAAATACCACAGTATTATGTGTCAAAAGAATGGATGAAAGAAAGAACAATAAAAAAGAAAGAAAATTTAAGAATTTTTGGTTATCTTATACAAACCACTTGGCTACTTTCAGAAATTTTACTTCCTCATGCTCTAGACTATTTTTTAGGGTACATGTTAAGAAACTTCCCTATCCCTCTAATAAAATAACATTAAAAACAAAGAATTATAAGGAAGAAATAAATTCAAAGGAACTGAGTTGGGAATCATTCTGATAGCATCCAACCATCAACACATGCAGCTTGTCAGCACCATGCTGTCAGGGGACTCACTGTGTGGTCAACAGCTGAGTGGTGCTCACCTGAACCACTGCCTTGGAGCCGCTGACTTCTAGAACTTGTCCACTTCTTCTTGTGCCATCTGGCAATGTCAAGTGCACAATCTCCGCATATCTGGGGAACTAAGCAGGAAAACAGTGAAGGGTTAATATCAATATCCCCAAGCTACCCAAGCTACTCCATGCCTCTCTACTGAGGTCTTGTTGTCTATGTACTTTCCCCACCTTAAACAAATACCTGAGGAGTGGAATCTCGGTCCCTATAACTTACACTCACTGGCATACAAAGTGGCAAACTGTACCAGGTACAGAGTACTATCCTGCAAAAACACTGCAATCACATTATTTTCCTGTGTGTATAACTGAAGGTTCTGAGACTGCAGAAAGATATAAAATTACCAACAATGTCTCTACCACTCAGAGTGCTGTTCACTTTCTGGGCTATGTGTACCTGTAATCACCCAGGCCTCACATGAGAGATGGAAGATGAAACATTACTATATAACGTAAATATCAGGCTACGATAATATCCAACGTCTTCCTCAATGTAGTTTAAACATTGAGGATAATATATCTTTCTATGTAACGATGTATATTTCTAAAATTCCCTCCTACCTCACATTCCCATCTGGCCTTAGATTGTTCATTTTTGAAATAGGATGTAATGGAACCCAAGCTGGCCCCCAACTCACTCTGTGTGTGTGTGTGTGTGTGTGTGTTTGTATATTTGTGTGATCATAAAAATTGAGGGTGACCTCAAACTCCCAGGCCTCCTGTCTGTATGTCCTTAGGGCTGGATGACAAGCTCCTGAGCTACCATACCCAGCTAAGATGTTGTTTAATGTACTTAACTGACAAAGTACTTGATGTATTATTATTGGGGAACGTCCTTTACTGTATCGATCCATGTTTGACATAATACATTGTCAGTTGAAAGACTGTATCATTCTATATGATTTAAGGGGAAAATCCCTTCAGTCAAATTATTGTACCATATGGGTAAAATGTATTTTGGATACAGTTGAAAGATGTATCATTCTATGTGATTTGAGGGGCAAAATCCCTTCAGTCAAATTATTGTACATTAGGGCTTCTAAGACTTTTGGATTTTGGAGATGTTAAAATGTTAATGAGGATTTTAAAATTAATGTTTATACAACTGACACAGTTAAAGTCTAGTACCAAGCTGGATATGGTGGCACATGCCTTTAAATCCCAGCACTTGGGAGGCAGAGACAGCCCTGGTCCATATAGTTTCGTTATAGGCCAACCACGGTACACAGTAAAACCCTATCTCAAAAAAATTAAAAAAGAAAAAATATTATCTAATGACCGTATCATATTTAATTCAGCTGCTCACCTGATGAAACACAGCTGTCCCTTACTATACTTCTATAATAATGACATAATAAACCCTCATTTTTGCAAACAACTCTTCACAAAAGTTAGCAAGCTACATACTAGCAGTGAATATCATTTTCTACCCAATTATTCTGCAAAGGTAATAGATTAATTCAGTCTCCAAAACCAAACCAAACCAAACCAAAAAACCCCCAACCAACCAACCAACCAACCAACCCTCCTCTATTTTCGCTAATCTTTCAGTTTCTTACTCATTTGTGGTTTTATAGAATATGGATGAACATCAGTCCTCTTATAAACATGTTTTTTAATCTTCCAATTGTGCTTATGACATTTTCTATCCCACAAACGTATTTAAGGTTTTACAGAATAAAAGTATTGTTGTTCTTTATGATTTTTATCTTTTACCTAGGAAAAGCTTCGACCTGAAAGTCATAAACAGGTTTTCAGTGTTTTCTAATAGGCTTCTAATAAGTTGATGTTTCACTTACATGGATTTATTTTCCTATTTTGATTTGGGAAATGAATGCTGTAGCAACAATTGACTAGCACAAAAATGTTCCCTGTGGCCTCACAATGGCAAATTCACCATGTCAAAAACTCAGGTGTGCTACATGTAATCCCAGCATTCAGAGGGCCAAGACAGGAGAATTGCAAGTTCCACTGGCTACAAGAGACTATGTCTGGGTGATGGTGGTGAACGCCTTTAATGCCAGCACTCAGGAAGCAGGGGCAGGTGGATCTCCCTGGTCTACAAAGTGAGTTTCAGGACAGCCAGGTCTACATCGAGAAACCCTGTCTTGAAAAACAATAAAACATGTGTGAGACCGTGTCTTGTGAAAGAAAGAAAACCAAAGATCATCCATATGCAGAGCTGTTTGGGCTCCATAACCTCGTGACATGGATGGGTTTATCCCTTCACTAAAACCGCATGCTTCCTTGCCCCATCTGACTGTACTAGCTGGTAATAAACATTAAAAAAAAAAAAAAAAAATCAAATCTTCTCATCCAGTCAAAGTTAAGTGGAATCACTCAAAACAAATGGAATGTACTTTCAGTAAGCCTCAGTTTTCTCTATACAAGTTGCACCTAGCACAGAAACTGAAATAGTTTCTGTAAACTGACTGTGTGTCCTGAGACCCTACTTTACATCACTGTCTCTAATGGTACTGATGACTTAAGCTTTTGTGTAATCACATATAGGAACAATGACAGTTGCTGTTTTTCCAATCCTGTTACACGCTTACTCTTTTCCTGCTGCTTGTTAATGTCAAACACAAGGATGAACAAAAAATGGCTACAACAACCATTCTCGTCTAACTGGTCATTTTAGCTTTAGTTCAGTTCTTGGTCAGAGCTCCTAAAACCCTTGTAATTTTCTAGGTATCAGGAGCAATCAAGATGAAAGAAGTCTTTTATTATTCATAGCCAGTTCTTTCACTCATACTTGTGAGACCATAGTGGGTATCTACTGTCCAGGGGAACCATGCACCCAATTAGATGACTAGACCTCTGAGGAGGGCAGAGAGACTGGAGATTGACTTAGTCAATACTGGCCAATCATGTGATCAACAACAGGATATGTGAGGAATTATCCATAAACTCCTGAGTGAAGAGCCGGGAGCTTTACTGTCTGGAAAGAATGCAGCCAGATGCAGCCAGAGCCCACACTCAGCCCCTCAGGACAGAAGCAGGAGCCAGTACTCAGGACTCCTTGGGGCTCTATCTATTCACATTTATACTTTTTAAATAAGTCAGTGATGGGAAATGATGCGTTCCTGCTTTAGGTGGGCTATTCCAGCAAGTTATGAAAGATGAGGAGATACCCTCTGATTTATAGCCAAGTTGGGCAGTAGCTGTGTCTCCTACACAGCGTATGAGTGAAACAGATACCATGTGTGTATGTGGCGGAGTCAATGGAGTCTGGAAGAAATGAATCAAATTTCAGGTCTACTAAGAAACTGAACTCAATTGTTGTGGAGGGAGAACCTGTCCACCTGGTATTAGAAATGCTAAGAGTAAAAACTACAAGGAAACGGTGCAGCTTTCACTAACTTCAAAAAAGAATGTTCTTAGCCAGGCCTGGAGCTTAAGCCTTTAATCCCAGTACTCGGGGAGGGAGAGGCAGGCAGACTGAAGTGTGTGAGTTGGAGGCCAGGTTGTTCCACACAGCAAGTCCAGGACAGCCAAAGCTACAGAGAGAACACTAAGAAAAGAATGTTACTAGGGCAGTGGGTCTCAGCCTTCCAACGCTGCAACCCTTCAATACAGTTCTTCATGCTGTGGTGACCTCCGACCATCAAATTCTTTCATTGCTACTTCATAACATTTTGTGAATGTTATGAATCATAATGTAAATATCTGATATGCAGAAAGTGTGGTATGTAACCCCTGTGAATGGGTCATTCCACCCCCAAAGGAGTCATAACTCACATATTGAGAACCTGAGTCCTAGGGTTTCCTAAGTATTCTGATTGTCTGCTTTCTAGATAAAGAGGAGTGGAGCCAGGAGGATGGATGGGGTTGAGGGCTTCCAGTCTAGAAACACCAAGTATTAGTTCTGGGAAAGACCCTGAATCACAGAACAAGACAGAGTGAGAGAGAACACCAATGCCTTCTGAGCCAGAGGGAAGTGTGCTAGGCTTACTCTCATAATTACTTTGTAAGAATCCCTTGTCATAGCTGGTGTGGTGGAGTATGCCTTTAATACCAGCAGTCAGGAGGCAGAGGCAGATGGATCTCTGAGTTCAAGGCGAGCCTGGTCTACAAAGTGAGTCCCAGGACAGCCAGGGCTACACAGAGAAACCCTGTCTCGAGGAAAAAAAAAAATCCCTTGCCATAAATAAAAACATTACTGTAGTGATAAAGTTAAAGGGAATATGCACTTGCCCTTTTAAAAAAAATGTTTCTCAAACTAATAATTGTGTGCCTGCTACAACAGAACTCTAGAAGGCACACTATTTAAATTGCTTTCTCTGATACTTTTTCTTTTTGTCTATTGTACTTTGTATTTTTTTTTTTTTTTTTGTGTCTGTGATATTGTGATTGTAAAATCAGGTAGAAAGCTTAGTCCAGAATAACCACTTAGAAACTAGATTCTATGCCTCCTTTTCTAAAATTAACAGTAAGTTCATAATAGACAGAGACAAAAGAACAACATGCTCACTAAGATCCTTAGAGCTAATTTAGGACACACCACTCTGTCGAGGGTTCTAAGCCACTATTGAGATAATCTGCTCTTACATATCCATTACTTGCATGTCCATGTCAGGCTCTCAAAGCACATTTAGTTACTCAAGACTTTAACATTCGGTAAAGAAAAACACTACTTTTCAGAAGCCTGTAACATAGAAGATGCCAGATATCTGTATGATATTCTCCAGGTGTAAGACACACTCATTATCGCTGTTTTACCTCCTATAAGCCCACCAAGTAAGATTTCCCCCTCAACGTGGAAGTCAAGGGACTTGAGGTCATAGGAAAGAATCCACACTAAATCTAGTACTAGAATCCAGTTTTCTGACTTTAGATCTTTCTTTCCTACAAATAATACTTACAGTCATACTGAAGAATGGTTTAAAATTCGTAACACAAATTTAAAGAACTGATGAAATCTGAAGTACAACAGTCAGACCACAATGGACATGGTGTTACCTTCACATGATCTAAGATTACCAATGGACCATTCACTCCAGAGACAGTCTTGTAGGCTGGAAAGAAAGAGTCTTGTTTAGTAAAGCAGCACAAGCTGATGACAAGAGCAAGCCCCTCCCCTTCATCTCCCACTCAAAAAGCCACATGGAAACATGAACTTTAAAATATGGCTATTTCCTGGTAACTTTTACTCTAAGTAAGCCACTATCCTAGAACCCAGGCTACAACATGAGACTGATGCTGCTTCCCTTTCCAAGTTCAGATTTTTCCGTTTTCATGTGGGACAGGGAGAATGCCAATGGGATGGATGGCAGACGTGTGGAGGCCTCATGGCAGCATCCCTGCTGAGAAGGTGGCACTTAGCTGAACAGACAGGAGGAAAAGGAATCTTCAAGAACTTTAAAGAGTTGGTGACAAAACTCACAAAGGAATTCTGAGAGAAATGTGGCTTGAAGGCAAAGCCACTATGAAATAGATTATGACTAACAGAGACTATGTGGGAACTGTGAAAGAGGTCTCACTCTGTAGCCCAGGCTGGTCTTGACCTTGCAGTACCAATCCTGCCTCAGGTTCTCAAGTGCTGGGGACTGCAGGCTTAAGTGACCAACCAACCAGCCAAGAAACATGTTCTTCATTTTTTTTCTTTTAGTCTTCATTTTTATCTTATGTGTATGGAGATTTTGGCTGCACGTATGTCTGTGCACCACATGTGTGCAGTGCCCATGAGGGCCAGAACCCCTGGAACTGAAATTAAGGTCAGTGAGAGCCGCCATGTGGGAATCTTCTGGAAAAGCAACCAGTGCTCTTAACCACTGAGCTATCTCTCCATCCCAACAAAAATATTCTTCAAAACAAAACAAAACAAAACAAAACAAAACAGCTGGGTGTGGTGGCACATACCTGTAACCCCACACTCAGGGAGGCAGAGGCCGGTGGACCACTGTGAGTACGAGGCCAACCTGGTCTACAAAGTCCAGGACAGCCAAGGCTACATAGAAAAACCCTATCTTGGAAAACAAAAACAACAGCAAACCAACAAAACAACAAAACAAAACAAAGCATAGACAGACATGCAAGTGGGTGGGAGGGAGACAGAGAGATTGTTGAGATGGCTCAGAGGACTTGAGCTCAATCTGTAGGACTCATACGGTAGAGAGAAAACAGAGCCCAAAGTTGCCCTCTGACCTCCATACCCAGGCCTACCCACCTACAAGCATATACACACTCAATAAATAAACATACAGATTTAAACATATATAAAACTAAAAATATTTAAAAGTCAGCAGGCACAGTAACCCCTGACTACAAATCAGGAAAGAAGGCTATCAGCCATCTCAAAAAGAAACAAAAGAGTTAAAGATTACTACCAGGTAAGGAGATTCCCATTATTTATTGCAAAGTGTACCTAGAAGAAATATCTAATCTACTTCCCCATTCTAAGGTTATATTAAATGCTTATTTATATTTTCCTTATACATGATGTAAGGCTGTCTAAATTTCATGTTTCCATGGGCTATAAGGTGCCTGCTAAAGCAGACTGGATATGCTGGACCTGGAGCTGGAGGTGCTGGTGAAGTGCTGGGAATGGAGCCCAAGTCCTCTGCAAGAGCAGTAAGCGCTCATAACCTCCAAGCTGTATCTGCAGCTCCTCACTCATTTTACAAAGGAGTTACCCATCCTTGCTGGCAAGGTTCATGATGATTAAACACAAAATACTTAGGAAACAGCAACTTTAGCAGACAAATTCAAAATTTACTATATTTCAAAATTTGAACAGCTAAAAAATACATTTCTTAAGAAAATTCACCATAACGCCTAAAATAATTTATGTGAAATCATTAACTGATCAGGAATGTTTCTCTTGTCTAATCTGAGGTCTTCTAATCAACTTGGACAAAGATTCCTGGAACAAGAATCATCTTCCAAAGAATGAGGAAATCATTTACTAGCCAGTGTATCCACTTAAGGGGCTTCCAATCCCTTTTGCCCAAGGCCAGGAAGCAAGTCTTGGTATAGACTCTTCATACAGAACAGACAAGCCTCATTTCATACTGAGACACCCAAACACAGACAGCAAAGATTTGCTTGAATATGTCAGAATTGTCATGTCAATAGAGGTTCCTAAATGAAGAATGTCCTTTAGTAACTTAAATAAAGGTGTTAAGATCTGCGGCATTTTGGGCCAATTTTAGGAAAGCACTCTCAAGGCTTTAAGATAATCTGTTTTTAAAAACACGTAATTCCAACCTTTTAAGACTCTCTTCCTTGTTTTTATTTTAAAAACTCCAAATACTGTTTCTTAAAGACTTTTTAGAACTGCTGTATGGAAACAGAAAGTGAGCTACAGTACTTCTTGAAACCAACTTTTAAAAAAAAATATAGAAACCTAGACTTTTCCAAAACTTTCCCTAAGCCTTAAGGCAAAGGGGGTGGGGGATCACTTGGGTTGATAAGAAACTCTTCATTAAAATGCCTCTAATTCTTAAAATTCTCTACTTTTAAAGAGACAGCACTTTCTTTGGATTTCTAGTACTGACATAGAACTATGTCTCAGAGTCTCATGGTTAAAATTCAAACTCATTACACACTACACAGTTTTGCCAGTCACAAGCAAAACCCATGACCAAGAAAAAAAGCAGCATTAGTCACAGCTTTTCATGGAAACAGCAGAGTTGCCATCCACTAACTAAATAAAGACAAGGCTTAGAGTCCTTAAGTCCAATCCCAGGGACAGCAAACAGGTAAAAAAAAAAAAAAAAAAAAAAATTAAATTCTAAAAAGAATTCTAAATGTGCAAGAATAAATATAAAGCCTTTGGAAAGCCAATTAAGCAAACACTATAAATTTACTAATTAACAGCAACAGCACCATTATTCCTGGTTTTAGAAGAGAAAAATAATTTCTAGATAGCCCATGCACCGGCACCTGAAGCCTGTCTCCAGCCACTTGAGCCAAATCCTAAGACTGAAACTAGCAACATGTTTGAAAGCTTTTGTCCAGCAGCACCCTCTGTATGTTTACAGTGTGGTGGGCCAGGCAGTTTCCCTGATGTCTACATCTGTCACTGCTGCAAGGCTACCTTTTCCAGCACTTACAGCTGCTAGAACAGTGGCCCTAAACTCAGAGAGTGGCTAGTGGGCTACTGAATGCATTGCAGTGGCTGATAAATCAAGCAGACATAAGCTCTGTAAGCCAAGAATGAAATATCTGACAGAGAAGGTGCAGTTTTCCCTCACTGGCAGTCTGAAGAGCACAGAAGACCTAGTATGGTTCAGAGGAGAGACATCAGTTTAACTGAAACAGGTACAAGGACTGAGCCAACGGACCTTATAACCTGAACTTAGTGAAAAAGCTACCAAACCATTTTGGAGAGTGAGACACATTTTTTACTGAGCATTTTCGGATTATCTGATCTTCTCTTTACAAAATACTGTAAGGTAAGCAAGGCAGGTACAATCTTACTACTTACTTTCAGATGCCCTGAGAGCCTCTGGGTCTACCTTTACTAAAAGTTTTGTGCTGCTTTCCTTTAATGATGGAATTTCTACTCTATGGAACACTTCTAACTGGCATAACTTAGACCCGTATTATGTCACTATAACTTAAAATATGGAGATCACACAGTTCCTGGCATTTGTACTAAAAACTGATGCAAAAAGACAGTTTACATGATAAGGTCAGCCCTTTCCATGCCAGCGAAAATATTAAAAAAGAAAAGTGAGCAGGAAAAACATCAAGTACCATCTTTTATCCTCAATACTATCCATCCAGTCTTCCTCACGATAACCGTTAAGTAGCTGGAAACAGATACTAGATCAGAGTACAGCATCCAAGAACATCACACAGCAAAGCCACTGACAACTATTCTCCATATGGCAACAGCAGACACATGCTTACACTGCACAAAACATTTATGAGGTAGCATTTAGAAACCATGATTTATTGGGAAGCTGAAGCAGGACAGTTAATTTATGGCATAGAAAGTTTCAGTCTTGCCAGGGTAAAACAAACCAGCTGGGCATGGCTGTGAATGACTTAAAACCCAGTACTTGGGAGGCAGAGGTAAGCAGATATTTTTGAGTTCAAGGCCAACATGGTCTGCATAGTGAATTCCAGGATAGCCAGGACTACCTAACACAAAACAAAACAAACAACTTGCTCAACACCCAACCAATAAAAAATAAAACCCTATGAACTACAAAGATTTTTAAAGACAGCCAGCTCTCAGGAGGCAGAGGCAGGTGGATCTCGAGACCAGCATGGAGTTCCAGGACAGCCAAGGCTATCCAGAGGAACCCTGTCTCAAAAAAACCCCAAGATTTTAAAGAGCACATCTCTGTCAGATGAAAGAGATGGTTCAACACTAACACTCTTAAGGATTGTGACATACTTAAAGTAAAACACATTGCACAATAAGCCCTAGCTCATTAGGCACCACCTTAAGAGCAAAACAAAAGCCGTTCCTTTTATTGTGCAAGAACAGAGAACTGACCTGAGCAATGAACACCCGAAAGAGAGGTTCTAGAAAAAAAACAAAACAAAACAAAAAAACAAGCAGAGTTCCTTATTTTCATTTCTTGCTGAGGCTCTGCTTTGTGATATAAGAAACTTAAGGATAGCTGACACATGGGTCAAGAAAAGTGGAAATATTTTGCTCTAAGCTCTGTGGATATTGTTGATCTTTCTTAAGGTTTAAAGGAAGGGCAAAGTTTTCTTTCCTTTTGATGTCAGAAAGTCAAACGATGTGTTCAAGATTAGCTATTAATTTCAAGCCTGAATATTTTACTTTGTTTCTTTTTAACAGCCCTATAACCCCGAAGTTGTTTAAAAACAGGACCTAATTTTCACAGGGCAACTGCCAAAACCATTCCATTCCTTCATTCAAAGAGTGTGTATCAACTAACTATATTTATCATTTTAGACAGTATTATCAAACCTTTATAATAAAAATTGAGATGTTAATATTTACCTTGAAGCATTTAAAATTGACTAAAATAAAAATGTGGCAAAAATAGTGAAAGATGACATTTAAATGTAGTTAGCTGTTCACTCAAGCACAGTATTCCAACCCCATGAAAGCTCTATCCACACGGAAAACCTACCCACTGAAGTACTAGGACAAGTTGCACGGCAAGTTACAGACTGCAGGGTGCTTCCTAAGTCCGGCACTTAGGCTCAGGGATGCACAGAGGGCAAGAGAAGTACGTGCAGCCACTGGTCAGCAGACCTTTCCCGTGGACACACTCTTCAGCCATCGGCCTAGCACACGAAGATGGTGGGGAAACACTCCTCATATCCCTGAAGGGCTTGCCACCTTAACCAGAAAGTATTCTACACTTTATGAATTGATACTGAACGATTACATCAAAATAGACTACTGTAACCTTTAACATTTTTTTTTTCTAGAAACCACACCGGTGTCTATGTGTTCTGCCCAGAGCAAAGCACACACACTAAATGCAATTTATGAGAATCTGTACTTCTCAGGTATCAATCTGTCAGTTTTCTCAACGTTTCCTTCTGCTCACATGGGCCCCAAACAGGCATTTGCTATTTCTAACAATTATTAAAAAAAAAAAAATGCCTAAAAGGCATTTGGCAATCTAGTCTCCAATGTGTTTTCTTCCTTCCCAACGCTGCAGTGTTATCACATGACCCATGGACAGCTCCGGACAGGATTAGTCAGGCTGGAGGGCGCCTAGCTAAAACCCTTCATCTGAAATTGTTTCTAACCAATGAGCCACCCACAGAGACAGGCTGGCAATTAACCAGTGCAAATGCAAGCTTATTACCTGAAAAACAACAGACTCCCCCTCATTTTTTTTAAAGTCTCTTTCCAAAGCTCTCTCCCTGGCTTCAAGATATCTGTGAAGGTTTAATGCTATACAACCGAAATCTTCAATCAACAACAGCCATTTCTTTGGGAATGACTGACCTGTCTACCTAACCCCGGCCTATTGAGGTCTTTTACAATCACTACACTTAAGCCTATGCACATGCTAGGGGAGAGGGGGGGGGGGGGGGGGAAGCTTCTTAGCTTTGCAAAGCAACTCTCCACTCAACTGAGTTTGGTTAGCTATTCAGTTAACGAAGAAACGACAGAAAACCAAGCAAGGATTAAGAAACCTCGAGTTTTGGTTCCTCCTTTGCCAATAATTAGATGTCTGAAGCCTGGCATGGCCTCTCCTTTCGAGAACCTTACGCGTCTCGCTTGTAAAATGAGAGAGTGGGACTACACGACTAGGGTACTTTTCAGCTCTAAGGTTCTCCGGTATCTCAGAGTCGTGTGAAGCGGTCCCTACAGGATAAGCCACATCTAGCTCTCTCCGCGGGCCTGCCCACGTCAGCGATGACACTACATCTTCTGCTCTGTCCACCTGCCCAGAGGTCCTCGGCGCAGAGGGGACGGGAGTGGGCGTTCCCTCCGGGAGACATTTAAATAAGGTCAGGAGCAGAAGGTCCGAGTGACACGAAGTGGCCTCAGAGACAGACGGGTGCCCGAGAACACACCAGTCCAGGGAATTCGGAGAGGGTGCGGCAATGTCATGAGCCCACGAACAGGTTCCAGTCGGTGCTCTCGCCCGCGGCCCTCCTAAGTCACGGAAATGCTCACGCAAAGCCGGAAAGGTGCTCGTGGAAAGGTGGGGGACACGATCCCATTCCCTCCCTGCTGGCTGAACAGGTGAGCACGAGCCGAGGCGGACGCGCTCACTTTCCCGTACTCACTGAGACGAGGCTGGGAGAGGTAGTTCCGGCTCACGGCCAGCGCCTGCTCGCGAGCTCCGGCCATCGGCCCACCGCTGGGCACGGGCAGCTCGGGCGCGGCACCGTTCACGATTCCCCGCATCGCTCGCAACGCCATCTTGTCTCCTCCGTCCCGACTGGCCCCGCAGCAGCGCGGCGCAGGCGCAGATATAGCAGGGAGGCCCGTGCGGCCGGCTCCGCCCATGCGCGCTGCGAAGCTGCAGCAGAGGCCCCGCCCAGTCAGCGGCGCCCCGCCCCCAGACTCGTGACTGGAGCTCTGCGGGGGCGGAGCAGCGTGCTAGCGGGCGATAGGGAGCTGACCAGAGTGCTGGGAGCGCGGCCTCGGGACCGGGAACGCGGAAAAGAGAAGCCTTTGGGGCTAGGAAAGAAAGATGGAACCAAGAGAGAGAACCCACAAAAAAAAAAAAAAAAAAAAGATTCATTGGAAAGCAGGGAAAGAGGGGGTAGGAAATCATGCATAAGAAGATGCATACAGCTGATGTCCATTGTCAAACTGTGAAAACCACCTTGAAAAGCAGAAGGTAGAAAACCTATCCCCATGATTGCTACCATGGAGTGCTTTGTGCCATAATTTATTTCAGCTCATCTACTCAGTTCATTCTCTCGTGGATCTATTCAACAGACGTGGCTTGCATATTTGGGTGCAAGACCACCTTATGAACAGACTTAAAAAAAAACAGTTAAGGGTGGAACGCACATAGTTTGTTTTCTGTTGCAGTGATAAAATGAGCTAGCTGTTAGCCCGTGTGCTGTCTCATGCTTTTAATCCCAGCACTAAAACAGGAAGGAAGGTCTCTTTGAGTTCCAGGGAGGCCAGGGCTGCATAGTGAGACTATGTTTCAAAATAAAGAAATAAACAAAGAGAAAAACCAGCTGGCTGTGGGAAAGGAACAACCTAGTGGATTGATTGTAGTTCTGCTTACAGTGTAAGAACAGAAAAGGAAGACAGGAACTTTGCTGTGATAGGTAGGGCAAGGCAATTAAAAATTGCTTTGTTTGGGTAACTGTTATTTCTCCATAGATTGTTGATAAATACACAAGAAGACATCTAGACTGGCCTTAGGTAAGATTTGTAACTTATCAATTGGGGAATGTGGAGATTAAAAGAATGGAACCTGAGAATGTGTGTAGAGTGGGGAGATACTGAAGGAATCTTTAGGATCAGGGGATTAGACACTCATGTTCCAAAAGCTAAAAGAAGGGGAAATTTTGGCAACTTCGAGACTATTGCCAGACACATAAAAGAAAGCTAGTAATCGGAGGACAACAGAGTCCAATTACCATGGCCATTAGAAGACCACTATGAATGGCACACATAATGGTACACACCAGTAACCCCAGCACTTGGGAGGCAGAGGCGGGAGAATCAGCAGTTTAAGCTCATTCTTGGTATCTTCAAGTACATGGGAGTTTGAGAAGTCTTGCACTAAATGAGATCTTGTCTCAAACAACTGTAAAGAGGCACTTGATCATGAAATGAATCTCTCTGTCTCTGTTTTAACCTGGAAGAGAGGGTTGAGAGCTGAACTGTATACCATGGTGGTGTATGGGTTAGTCATCCCTAATCTGAAAGCCCAAACTCTGAAATGCTAGAAAAATCCAAAAACTTTGAGGGCCAACATGATGCCACAGATGGAAAATTCCATAGCGTGGAACTTTGCCTGTCTCATCCATAAAATTACTATACTGTTATAAAATTCTCTTTGGGCCATATATGTGAGATATGTATGGGATATAAATGAATTTTGTCTCTAGATTTAGAGCCTATATACATTATATAAATGCAAATATTCCAAAATAATAAAAAAAGAAATTTAGAGGTTTAAAGCACTCCCCGTCCCAAACATTATAGCTAAGAGTCAGACAACTGGTGTTACAAATGAAGTAAATGCTCCTTTGGGTGCACCTCATTTCCCTAGGTAATGATCCTTTTTTAATCTTTCTCTATGAAACTGTTGGGAGTATTAAAAGAAGTAAAGAAGGCAAACAGTAAGTTCTATACGTTTCTTTTAAACTTTCTATTATTTGAGAATCCCATTCATGTGTGTGATATATTTTGATCAAGTTTGCACCTCCCCCCAATTCCCTCTCTTCTAGTTCTTACTCCATCTCCTGCCATTCTACCCCTCCCAAGCACGTGTGATCATGATTGTTTAAGTCTACCGAGTCAACTTTGTGCTGCCTGCATGTGCCTGAGTTCAGGACATCTACATGGGTGCTCTCTCAAGGACCACGTCTCTGAACAAAGCTGACTCTCTCCTCCCTTCCCCTCCCCTCCCCTCAGAGTAGCGTAAGTCATCAGGAGCCGCCCCTCCATCTGTGCTGGGATTTTAGCCAGCCTGAGCTTTACGCATGCAGCTCTATATATTTCTTAGCTAAGATTACTCATATACTTTTATTGATTGATAAACCTTTACACATTAATTACTGTGTGTTAGACCAGTGATTTACAACCTTTGTAATCCTGAGACCTCACGTTGTGGTGACCCCCAAACATAAAATTATTTCACTCTACTTCATCCTGCAGTTTTACTACTGTTGTAAATAGTAAAGAAAATATCTCCTATGCAGATACCTGGTGTCACGACCTACAGGTTGAGAACTGCTGGGTTAGATTCTTTTTAAGAGCTAAATGATGGCTGACTCTAACCAGTATGTATTAAACAGCAGTTTTCTTGTGTCTTTCACCTGAAGCACCTGAGGAGCTAATTTACAGCCAGTACTTAATACATAGCATGGAATGTTTTTAAGGTGCCTTCCTTTACTCCTAAGGACTGCAGGAGTAGCTGGCCCAGCCATAGAGAAGGTGCTAAGAGCATGACACTTGGAGTCATCAATCCTGCTTTCAAGGTTGACTGTCTCTTTAAATACACAATGTGACCTTGGGGTGACCCTGAGTTCCTTCTGTCTCTCACTTGCCATATGTGAACAGGGAATATTTTATGTTATGTGTATCTTTTAAGAACTTATTTAGATTTTTTGAGACAGTTTCTTGTAGACCCAGCTGACCTCAACCTTGCTTTGAAGCTATGTAGTGAGCCTGGCCTTGAACTCGTTATCCTCTATTCTCCATGTTCCAAAGCGGGTATTATGAGCATGGTCCTGTAGGCCTGGTTTTTTTTTTTTTTTTTTTCTTATTTTAATCCTCAATTTATTCCATGTTAACATACTTGTAAAGCATTGACTTTCACCAAGTATGTTTAAGAATACATAATGGCATACATTGGAAGGAAAAAGCTCAAATGATGTGGCAATACACATTATGGTAGCTTTGTCATTAATCACGTGTTTTATTTTTATTTTTTTAATTTAATTTTATTTTTTTCTTATCAGTTACATTTTATTAACTCTGTATCCCAGCCGTGTCCCACTCCCTCATTCCCTCCCAATCCCACCCTCCCTTCCTCATCTCCACCCTGCCCCTTTCCAAGTCCACTGATGGGGGGGGACCTCCTCCCTATTCATCCGATCCTGTTTTATCAGGAATCTTCAGGACTGGCTGCAAAGCCCTCCTCTGTGGCCTAACAGGACTGTTTCTCCCTTGGGGGGTGGGGAGGCCAAAGAGCCAGTCATTGAGTTCCTGTTAGAAATAGTCCTTGTTCCCCTCACTATGGGAAACCAATTGGTTACTGAGCTACCACAGGCTACATCTGAGCAGAGGTTCTAGGTTATATCCATACATGGTCCTTAGTTGAATGACAGTCTCTGAGAAGACCCTGTGCCCAGATATATTTGGTCCTTGTGGAGCTCCTATCCTTTCCCCATCATACTAACTCCCCTTCTTTCATATGATTCCCTGTACTCTGCCGAAGGTTTGGTCATGAGTCTTTGTATCTGCTTTGAAAACACTGCTAGTTAGAGTCTTTCAAATGCGCTCAGTAGACTCCTGTCATATGTTCAATGCACATCCCATCTGTCTTTCTAAACGAGGATTGATCATCTTACCCCATGTTCACTCTCTTGATAATCTTTTTTAGGTGTACAGATTTCATTATGTTTATCATATCTTATAGGTCTATATAAGTGAGTATATACCGTGTTTGTCTTTCTCCTTTTGGGATATTTCACTCAGAATGATCTTTTCTAGATCCCACCATTTGCCTGCAAATTTCATGATTTCCTCCTTTTTGATTGCTGAGTAGTATTCCATTGTGTAAAAATACCACAATTTCTGTACCCATTCCTCCATTGATGGACATCTGGGTTGTTTCCAGGTTCTGACTATTACAAATAAAGCTGCTATAAACACGGTTGAGCAAGTATCCCTTTTGTGTACTTGAGCAAACTTTGGGTAAATACCTAGCAGTGGTATAGCTGGGTCTTGAGGAAGCACTATTCCTAATTGTCTTAGAAAGCGCCAGATAGATTTCCAGAGTGGTTGTACCAGTTTACATTCCCACCAGCAGTGGAGGAGGGTTCCCCTTTCTCCACAACCTCTCCAGCATGTGTTGTCACTTGAGTTTTTCATCTTGGCCATTCTGATGGGTGTAAGGTGAAATCTCAGGGTCGTTTTGATTTGGCCTGGTTTTCTTAAGGGTTTAAAATTAGGCTTAGAGCACCCAGCAACTCTGGCAAGAATGTGAAATTGTATTCTATTACAAATATTTATTGAGGAAGAAGAATAAGGAAGGAAAGGCAAGAAGATCTCATGCCAGTGACTTCATTTTCCCCATATAATGTGAATCTTTCTTTATTTGCTGGAAAATACTACTCACATGTAAAATAATGAGTTTCCTTGTGTGGTTGCCCTTTTTGTAGAACTAGTTTATAATTGTTAGATTTTAGAATGGTGCGATACTAGATGTTTCTTCTCAATTTACAGGTGATGAAACAGAAGTTTGGGAAAGTAAGGTGATTTCCTGCAATTTAAGCTCCTTAGACTTTAGACTGTATACTTTGGGATCCATAAATTCATACGTGTCTTGCCTGTCTTTTCTGTATATATCTACAGAATAAATCTAGATTCAGATCATTCTACAAATACCCCAGATATAAATCAGGAGTGGGGAATTTTGGAAGATGAAATTACGGCTGAGACGAGTGGGTGCTTCTGATCTGAAGTGTGACAACAAGCCCCAGGCTCTCACCTAGATCTGCTGAAAGCCCTTTCTGTGATAGCAGAAACGAACCAGGGATTTGCTGGTCTTACAGCACTGGGGTTTTCAGGCAAAGCTCCAGGGACATACGTTCATCTCAGCCTTTCTGTCATGGTCATGCCCTGTACTGTCCTTAAGTCTGAATCTCAGAGCCATGAAAGTTCTTATTCTGTATAATACACTCAGAGAATCAAAAGCACCCAATTGATGCCTTGTTCAAGCAAGTGCCTAACTGGTAATGAACTGAACATAGTGTGGTCATTGGAGAAACTCCAATGGAAGACACATTCTTGCTCTGAGCCACGAGCAAGCCACTAGCATTACACCAAGCTCGATGGAGCAGGCCAGACTCAGTGGTAGATCCCTTGCTTAGCAGGTGGAAGACCCTAGATTTTATCCTGAGCACAGCAAAACACAAAATAAATAAACAAAAAAGAATTTGGAGAAGATGTAAATGGGAAGAACAGTGCTGGATGTTTTGCATTAATTCTTGAGCAACCTGTAAACCAGTTTATTCTTGTGGCAAGCAAGAAGTAACAGTTCTAAAGTGGTCAGGGTAGATGATTCACTTCAAGGGGAAATTAACTTGGGGAACTTAGTGTTTGAAAATTCTCCCCACAAATAGAGGGGCTCTGCAGAGCAGAATCCATGTCCTTATGTTTTTTCTGATAACTAAGGTCTTGAGACATAGTCCTGTATGCCTATTATGTCCAGGTGCTGTGAGGGGACTCAGCAGAGACCATTCAGGCACAGGTTCAAGCCAATAGAAAAGCTTCATTATGTCCCAGGTGCTGTGAGGGAGCTCACCAGCAAAGACCATTCAGACACAGGTTCAAGCCAATAGAAAAGCTTCATTA